CCCTCCCTCTCTCTCTCTCTCTCTCTCTCTCTGTGTCTCTCTCCCTCCCTCTCTCCCTCTCGCTCTCTCTCGCTCTCTCTCTCTCTCTCTCTGTCTCTCTCTCTCTCTCTCTTTCTGTCTCTCGCAGGAAACTAAGATCGATTGTGTTCGCGTGGCCACTAAAGGTGGGTCTGTGTGGGAGTAATCGAGTGCACTGATTGAAACATGTTCCCTAAAGCTGAACAGCGCTGCCAGTGATTCCAGCTCGTCTGCAGAAATGACTGCGGCTCGGCTGTGTTCCCAATGAAGAACGAGCTGACGCTCATTGCACGCTGATCACTAACATATCTATATACTATATGAAACACAATGCATTATGACAAACAGACACCAGGACAAACAGTACTTCAGGCACATCTGATCAAATCATGATGAACAGATATAGAGCACAGCTCTCATTAATTTTTAATGGTGACTCACAAAGACAGACCTACTCTGGTTGTTAATCGGTGGAATTTTTAGATAATTGCATTTAACAACAGAGTTCCTGGTGACTAAAACTACATTAACCATGATTCTGCAAAGAAATCTCCACCAATCAGAGGATCGAAACTAGCAAAGCCCAACAAAAAAACTGTTTATCTCCCCAAACTACTTATATATTTATTTATATACTATTTATATATTATGTTATTCATTGCGAAAAACTTCAAAAGTAAAACTAAATTACAATAATGTAATATAAGGTCAAATGTGTTTAATTGCCAAATTATATATAAACATTACTATTACTAACATTACAATTCTTATTACTATTCTTAATGTTCTTAAAATAGGCTTAATTTTATCAATGCAAAAAAGAAAAAATATATATATATTATAAATGTATATTATAAATTATATTTTGCATAAAGATTTAGCATTTTCTTTTACTGTAATGTGAAAATAACAATGTTTTTCATTTTACTTTTTGTATCATGATAATATTAGTTTTAATAACACTTTTTTTAAAAATAGGCATAATTGTCTTAATGCAAGATAAAAATATATATCATGGTATTATTTATTTGAATAATTTAAATGTTATTTCAGTTATATCTTTAAAAAACTAAGAAGAACCATAGCAAAAAAAGTTTGAAAGTAAAACAGAATTACATTAATGTAATATAAGGCAAAATGTGTTTAATTGTCATGAAAACACAATGCAAAAAATCATTACTATTCTTAATGTAATGCAATCAGAAAATGTGACGTTAAAATGCAGAAGGGAGCGTTTGTACGCAGAGTCTGACGACTCTGAGGGGAGTCATCTCACGTCGCGACAGATGGAGAATCACTCCGATGGAAACTCGATGGCTTCACGTACGGCGGTGGTGTTTTTGCGTTTTCTGACCTCTGGTGGACCGTTACGAGACTTCGGGCGGCAGTTAGCGACGCTCGGGCCTTTTCTCGCTGCTGTTTGTGATTTAATTGAGCACAGATGGTACATAATCTATTTTCCCGTCTACGTGCCACATCTCTAATGGTGTCAAGCCTGCTCGATGCAAATGAGAGTTTGTGGCTTTAGTTTTCAAGATAATCGTGAACATGAAACCCATCTGATGCAGAAAATCCTCTATTGTTTGTCCAAGTTGAAAATGCATTGACTAAAATTGGTTTTGCATGAACTTTCTCAGCAGTTGCGCTCTATACCTGTCAATCATAACATATACAGATGTAGACCATCAATGTCTCATAAACACACATGAAGGGTAGATTTTTAGTGTTTTCCACATACATTTAAAAAATGTACATGCAATAATTCACTTACCTTCAATGTCCAGCTGTTATTACTCACTGAGCATGTGAATAAAATCTTTCTGGCTTTCTCAAGCTCTTTTCTAAAGCCTTCGTGAGCCGCCATTGACTTTTCCGCAAAGAATACATAAGAGGTTAACTAAAACTATTAAATCCATTTTGTTATTTGAAATAAAGCTGAAATTAAATAAAATATATTAGATAAAAAAGTAGAAATGTTGCCTTGGCAACTAATTGATATGTCATAATTATAAGAAAAAAAATCTAAATTATGACATACTGAGATAAAAAAAAAGTCATAATTATAAGATAAAAAGTCACAATTCAGAAAAGGCCAAATTATGAGATAAAGAGTCATAATTATGTGAAAAAGTCAAAATTATGACATACTAAGATATAATTATGAGATAAGTCACAACTGAGAAAAAGACAAATTATGAGATAAAAAGTCACAATTACAAGAAAAAAGTTACAATTATGAGATAAAGTCATAATTGAGAAAAAGCCGAATTATGAGATAAAAAGACATAATTATGAGGGGAAAAGTTAAAATTGTGACATACTAAGTCATAATTATGAGATAAAAAGTCATAATTGACAAAAAGCCAAATTATGAGATAAAAGTCATACATATGAGAAAAGGGTCATAATTATGAGATAAAAAGTCATAATTGATAAAAAGCCAAATTATGAGATAAAAAGACATAATTATGAGGGGAAAAGTTAAAATTATGACATACTAAGTCATAATTATGAGATAAAAAGTCATAATTGACAAAAAGCCAAATTATGAGATAAAAGTCATACATATGAGAAAAGGGTCATAATTCTGAGATAAAAAGTCATAATTGAGAAAAAGCCAAATTATGAGATAAAAAGTCATAATTATGAGACAAAATTCATAAATATGAGAAAAGGGTCAAGATTATGACATAGTAGATATAATAATATAATAAAGAGATTTTAAAAAAGTTGTGAAGTGCTGTCTGTGTAGGCGGCTCACGAGCATCTGTCTCTCTACTCTGCATTAATAACCCTACAGGTGTAACGATGCCTCAGCGTGTCTGTCTCTCTCTCTCTCTCTCTCTCTCTCTCTCTCTGTGCATGTTGGGCTGGATCTCTTCTCTTGTTCTAGCTGCCATTATTGTGACTCAGCTCACCACGCCGTATGTGCGTATCGCACCCGCTGCCGGCGACAGCCAACTAACAGGTCAGAACTTCCACCATCCACCTCGCTCTGTGTGTGTTAAACCAGGCCTGTTTCTGCTCACTGTGTGTGTGTTCATGTCCAGATCGTATTTCACTCCTAAATTAGAAGGGAAAAAATAAATAAGAAGAAATCATATTATTATATTTATTATTTAATATTTTTATTTATATTATTCAGTATTTTTTATTTTCAATATTTATAATTTTATTACATTTTGCATACAGATTTAGCATTTTCCTCAAATTTTCATGACTGTAATGTGAATTGTTTTGTTTTTAATATTATATTTGCATTAAAATGTAGCATTTTCTAAAAATTGTCATTACAATAATATGAAAATAATATTTAGTTTTTCAATTGATTTATATATCATGGTAGTATTTGTTATGCTGCACAACATGTATGCTGATTTAAATATATATATATATATAAAAGAAATCAATGAGAAAGAGTTTTGTAGCAATGAGAATCATTGAGAAGAAATTGACAATAAATAAATGTAATGTAATGTTATGTAATATAATAAATAAAAACTCAAAAGTGAAATATCTGGATGCATTGGTATAAATGTTTTATTTTTCTTGAAAATAATGTCACAATAAAAAAAATAATTTCAATCGCTATTCGTAATTATATTCATTCTTATGCTAAATAGAATTTTCAAATGTTTTATTTAAATTTTTAGGGTTAAATGTGAGCTGGATTTCCATGTTTTTTATGTTTTCATGTCTGTAACTTTAAAAAAATTTTTATGTAGTGCTATATGGTATATTTCAATATTTCTTCCATGTGTATTAGTGTAACCCATGTTGTGTAAAGCAGCGTTTGTTGATTCGTTTTAGTCCTGAATGGATGCAGGTTGAAAAGTTAATTGAGGATTTTCAGGGTTACCGTCCGTCTGATGAGCTTCATTTGATCACTGCTGTTTGCTTCCTGTAGAAGGTCACTTTCCATTAGCTGAATCTGTACGCTGAATACACGCATTTACTTTGGAAAATATACGCTGGAGCAGGAGTCACTAAATTAGCTGCTTTTTATTCAGCACCGATGTCCGTCGAAGGAATCAAAATGACCCCGGCAAACCCGAAACCCAAGCTTGCGGCGTTTGCAATGCATGACCACCACATCCCGTCAGAAAATTACATTTCAATATTTACTGTTTGTTGAACAGTCCCAGGTGACGCTCTCATCTGCCGCTGTGAAATGCAGGATTTTACCCGTCAGTCGTTTCATTGTGGATGTTTAATGCTAAGGTGAAGTTTTCCACAGATTAACAGTAAAGAGAAAATTGGCTTGTTTTTTAATGAAACCTTATGTAAACACATCTTCAGATCACTCGCCTCTTCGGTCCGTTACTGAATCATTATGCATGATCACGGATTCTGTTCCTCTAAGTGTTTGCATGTTTGTTTGTGAGCGAGACTGTGATGGTTTCTCCTCTGGTCATCTGAAGCGAGGCTGTTTATGCCGATCGTCATCCTCCTCAACCCCTCGCTGCAGCCTGCGGCCCGGCCCCTCTTTAAACACTCTCTCTCGCCTCCATCCAGTCTGAAGAAACTCAGACTCCAGAATGCAAATGAGTGTCATGACAATAACACTTTTTCTGCACTTATGCTAATAAACATACTCAATTTCTGTTTTCATTTTCGGTCCAGAACGTTTTCATGATTTGCAGAATAAGGCGACAACATTTATAATAAAGTCGATATTGTTTGCATACAGTGGTTTTGTATGGAAGCTTATTTCCGCCACATGAGAGAAAAATCATGCATTGATAAATCAGAATTATGAGGCAGAAGAGTCAAAATTATGACATGACAATTAAGTCATGATTATGAGATAAAAACGTACTTCTGGTATTAAAAGTAACAATTATGACATAAAAAGTTGAAATTATGGCACAAAAAGTTGATAATATGAGATATAAAGTCAAAACTATGACATGCTAAGCAATAATTGAGATAAAAAAGTTGTAATTATGACATAAAAGTAGAAATTATGAGAGAAACTAAATAAGTCCAAATTATGAGCTAAAAAGTCACTATGAGATCATACTTGAAGTTGAAATTGACAAAAAGTCATAATTACGAGAGAAAAAGTTAACATTACGGCATGAAAAGTTGAAAATATGAGATATAAAGTCAAAATTATGACATTGTGAGCAATAATTGAGTTAGTTGAAATTGTGACAAAAAGTAGGAATTATATAAAAAGTCAGTAATGGCATTAAAAATCATAATTATGAGATAAAAATCTAAATTGATATGTTGAAATTATGAGCTAAAAAGTCATCAAGATAAAGTCATAATTATGAGATAAAAAGTTGAAATTATGGCATAAAAAGTCAATTATGAGAGAAGTCATAACTGTGACATAAAAAGTCATAATTATGAGATAAAAAGTTGGAATTATGACAAGTCGAAATTACAAGATAAAAAGTCATAATTATGGCATAAAAAGGCATAATGAGAAGTTGAAATTATGACATTAAAAGTAATTATGAAAAAAGTCATAATTGTCATAATTTTTATGTCATGATAGTATGTCATAATTTTGACTTTTTATCTCATAATTATGATTTACCAAACCATTAATTTTTTTCTTATGTGGCAGAAATGGGCTTCCATAGTTTTGTGAGTATCTGCTGGGAAGCAGTTCTTTTGTTGTTGTTTGTTGGGAATCACCTGCGGCAAAACAGAAACTCGAACCCAAACACGGGAACCTGCTCATCCGTCACCATGGTAACAGCAGCCCATAGGCCCGGCTGATGGATGTTGTCAGGCCTTGATTGAAAAAGCGTAGCTGGCAGGAGGAACTGATCCGCGGCCCGGCTCAAATGAGCGCTCGCTCTGTTTCTCTCTGAACTCTCGTACGCTCGCTCAGTCCATTTAGATAACAAACAGATGTTGCTCAGATGTTGCTCTTTATGACTTTTAGTTCTCACGTATGTTTCATTGAAGTATCAACTTTGTCTCAAATGTTTTTCTTCAAATTGCTTATGAGAAAAAAGCTGAGATACTGTAATTGTGACAAAAAGTCATAATTATGGCATAAAAGGAGATAAAAAGTTATACCTTTGTCTCAGTTGTTCTTCCTAAAATTGCTTATGGGAAATAAAGCTGAGATCATTAGATATTTGTTGTATGTGGTGAGAAATGCTTGAATTCATATTGAGATCTGATTGCAGACTTTAGTATTTTGTCTGATCTGAGCACAGTTTGAGACATTGTTGAGATCTCTTCTGAAACTCAAGAGGAGACACATGAGAATACAGGAGTCTCCGTTTACTCTCATTGATGTCTAAGAGAAACAGTTGAGGTTTTATAGAGATATTTGTTGTGTTTTCTTCTTTTCTACAAGCAAAGCCAGTATAATCAACCGATCAACTAACTTGACTAACTGTCTGCTAATACTAACCTGTTTTATTAACAAAAAGCACACAATCATATAAATCTTATTTCACTCGATTTCTGCTAGTGTCAGTGTTTACAGTATACCTGTACCATGTGTTGTATTTACATCATAAGATCACAGTGACTCTCATTTCAGCCATGATTGTCTGGACTTCCTGTTCCAGGTGCCGCGACCCGGAAGCCTGATGCCGTGGAACCCGAGAAACAGACAGATCACACGGTGAAGATCGCCGGCGTCATCGCTGGCATCCTACTCTTCGTCATCATCTTCCTCGGCGTGGTGCTGGTCATGAAGAAACGGTAGGAGAGCTTCACTTCTGTTCAACAATACTTAATCTGATCTGATTAACATGAATGTGCTGATTACCATGAAATTGTGTTTAATTTCTTTAAAGCTGAAGTGTGTCATTTAAGCACCACCGCACTCCCACTATCTGTCAGTCAGATAGCCACGCCCCCAAACTCATGTGACTGGCTGAGAATGCGTCACAGTGTTGATTCAATGGTTCAGTGACTCACTAATAAAGACTCTGAACATTACAATACGACAAAGTATTTAAATGTGGGAAAGATCATGCTTTGGTAATCAGAATTATAATATTAAGAAGTTATGACATGAAAAATCTAAATTATGAAATGAGAAAATCTAAAAAAAATTAGATTTAAAAAAATTATTGCATACTAAGACATAATTATGAGATCATAAGTAATTATGCCATAAAAAGACGTAATTATGAGATACAAAGTCGAAATTTTGACATGAAAATTCAAAAATATGACACACTACGCAATAATTTATATTATGCCAAAAACTAAAATTTCTAAGATAAAAGTCATAATTGTAACATAAAAGTATCAATTATGAGATAAAATGTCATAATTGACACAGTCATAATTATGAGATGCAAAGTCAAAATTATTACATGAAAAGTCAAAAATAATACATACTAAGCAACAACTGAATTATGACAAAGTAAAAATGTATAAGATAAAGTAATAATTGTGACAAAGTATAAAAAATCCAAATTGACATACTAAGCAGTAATTGAGATAAAAAGTTGAAATTATGACAGAAAAATAGAAATTCATTGTCATTGTGACAAAAGTATAAATTATGAAACAAAAAGTAAATTGTGACAAATGAGAAAAAAGTCAAAATTATTTAATGAAAAGTCAAAAATATGAGAAGTCAAAATGATGAGACAAAAAATTATGATATGAATTTAAAAATGTGAGATAAAAAGTCAAAATTGACAAACTAAGCAATAATTGAGATAAAAAAGTATGATGAGAGTCAACAATTATGAGATAAAAAGTCATAATTGTGATGTAAAAACATAACATAATTATGAGATAAAAATTCAACCAAACTGATAGCCCCGCCCCCAAACTCACGTCATTGGTTGAGAATGTTTTGAGTCTGATTCACTTACAGTGACTTTGAACATTAATGTACGAGAAAGTGTTTGAGCGTAGGAGAAAATGACTCACTTCAGCTTCAGAGAGCTGTTGTATTGCTCCTGTACCGTACAGAAGTCTTCCCATGTCATGGTACCATCCAGTGTGTTCTTGAACACACGAAAGTCAAATTAATCTTTGCTGATTTTCTGTTCGCTTTTCAAACGGCCCCTTTTATCAACTGAACACAGAATAATTGATTTGATCGCTCTGATAAGCACCATTACACGGTTTGTGGCACCAATACATGCTGCCTGATGAAATATTAATTTTTTTCTCCCCGCGCTGCTCTCAAACAAACGGCAGCGCTTTAATGACCCGGCGACGGGAAATAGCACAAATATTTTCCAAGCTTATCTTGTGCAGAAAAAAAGAAAAGAGCGAAAGAAAAGCAAGATAAGAGAGAAAAATTGATGAAAGGCGTTTTTTTTTTTTTTCAAAGAGACGCCCAGGGCGCGTTGCTCCGGGCGAGTTTACATTAGATGCGTCCTCAGCTGGAGTAAAAACCCTTGTGCAAACAGCCCCACTCTCGTTCTGCTTTAGATTCAGAGCGTGCTTTCAGTGGTTTCAGATGTAAATTGAAGGCAGGGCTAAGTAAATATGTTTTTAATGAGAGTCATTACCTTCTCAGAATAAGGGTATTTGTCTCTATTGATTTTGCTGTTGAGTCTCAAAATGGCCAAACATTTGGAGAGGGATGCCTTCATTTTGCTGACAAGGCAATTTCCGTCAGATCGTTTGTATGCGTCGCCCGGGCCGTTTTTAGCATAATGACATTGGCATTGCATGTTAAATCTCAGCGTAATTTGATGGGATCCATATCCACCGACATCAGTAATTGAGTCAGGACTGAGTTCACTATTAAGAGAGACAACTAATAAACTTAGAGCGCTAGAATTGCTTTCGCAGCTTGTGTTTGTCGCAGAATTATAAACCTGAGCCCAAACTCACTACTTCTGCCTGTAACGAGAGCTAATCAGCCTGTTTCTAACCGCTCTCTGTCCTGTCCTCTCTCTCTCTTCACCCTGTACTAGACGAATGAAAATGAAGCTGTGAGAGATTGAAGTGCTGTCTCATTACTGAAACACAAGCTGAATGAATTAGTGTAAATTGTTCTTGCATAAATGATTGCGTTCGATTAAATGCAAGCTTTTTGTGTGTGAGAATGGTTTGCACAGAATTACTTCTGCTTGCGTTTCATGAATGAGGTCTAGAATTGATCGACATTTGACGAAACACTGAAAACGTCTTTCTAGAAAAATTAAGTTGACCAAAAACTAACATTTTTGACTTATTGGGCCTCATTAAGAAAGCACAAGATGAACATCTTTTAGTAAATTCT